GAACAGAAATATGTAGAATGCAATCTTCAGGAAATATCCAGGCAACCTTGTTTTTTTCCCCAGAGACTGTAGTATTTATTAGATCCCAGAAACAGATGAATAGGAACAGTCCAACAGAATAATAATACAAATAAAATAAAAACCCTGTGAGTCCCTTTCTACATGTATCTAGACCTCAGATGAGTATCAGCATATACTGTATGTCTATATATGCACCTGTGTGTCTATAGGCCTCTCTACTCATAACTCACTTCATGATGATTCTTTGATACCTCTCAGACACTTTTAACCTCTGACTTCATATACGGTTTACTGCCATTCACTAATGCTGAAAGTTTTTCTGATTGTCTTGTTTGATGATCCCTTTGATGTTACATCAATTAACTTCTAAATAGTGACAGTTAAGTAAACAGATTTCTATCGCAAAAAACTCTCCTCAATTGTTTTCATTGAGTACAGTCAGCACCATCTGGAAAACAGTATCAGAGGCCCAACTGATCGGGAAGTTTAGCAATATAAAACCTAGTTAGTCCATAATACTGAAGTGTTTTGAATAACATAAGCCAAAATAATTTCCTTCAACACATAAGCATACATACACCCTAAATATATCTTGCAGACAAACAATATCATCAAAGCCTAAGAGCTGATTGTTTCAGCCCCTGGGTTTAGCACAGGACCCTGGCAGTCACAGTGGTGCTAGGATGAAGCCACTAAAGCTACTGAGATTAGCCATCCTTTTGAAATGGCACTTCAATGAATAGCTGCTATCCTAGTTCCATGTTAAAATGGGGCCTGGCACTCCAGTGGTTAGGCATTTTCACTTAGCTCCATGAAGCTGTATTAACTTCAATTGTCCAATCATGTGCAATGGATAGTACTATATCTTAAGCACTTCTGAACAATAACTGGATGCTTACAAGAAATGTAAAAATTAAACTTACATGTTGATATGGTCAGTTGAAATTGAAATGCTGTATCTTTAGGCATGCTGGTAAAAGTGGTTCCTTGTGATTTCACATACATGTATCACTTATGCTATTTTGATCAGTATGTGGCTAGTTAAATTGTACAGTCAACTACTCAGTGATCTCCTTTGTGTTACCTAATGCTTAATTCATAAAAATACCAAAATTCATGTGATATTGACATGGTACAAAGAGGACAAAATTACATTCTATGGTATGATATGAAATCATTCAGATTTTATGAATTCTGCCATCAGTTTACTCTTTTTGTTTCTGTTGTCATAGATGAGCTTCAGAGCTGATCTGTTACCTGTGCTTCAACAGATTTGCATTTATTTTCACCTCCTTGCTACTGTGGATTTGCTTTCACCTGTGGTTCTACAAGCATGTGCTCTGATGCTTAATATACATTGATTCCTACTAATTCCTGCCCAGCCTCCTATCTTTCTCCCTATTTAAATCCTGCTCAAACCAGCTTACTTTGCATGAGCAACACTCCTGCTGCCTCCCAGCTCCCATTTGTGCCTTTGTTCCTGACCTGATTTTCCTTGGACTGATCTTTTGTGTACCAACTTGGCTTAGTTCTCCTGTTCACATTTGTTGGCTGCCAGCCCTGGCCTTTAGCCAATTTTCCAGATTTCCATCTTCTCTGTTGCCCTCGTGCCTTTGCCAGTTCTGACTTTATCACAGCCCTGTTCTCCAACTCCTATGTGTATGGGCACTGTCCACATTCACCCAGGGGTCATGGCCTAGGTCTAGGATGGGACCCCTGGAGAAACACCAACTGGCCCTTAGACCCCACACCCTTGGGGATTCCACCCCCCCTGCTGACTTGTACTACTTAAATCCCTGGATCCCTGGAATTGTGACACCTATTTACAAGTTATAAGGTACATAACCTTTATGCACTTCTAAAAATGCTAGTTCCTTTGCTTTCATATTGAATCAATGGCTTCAGTTTTCCTGGTCATTACAAATATTAAAACTAGAGACTCCAGGTCAAATAGCATGACACTGTCAATGTTTCTGTTATGAAATGTTTAAGGGCTTAACCTATGCACAGTATTCTTTATTTGTGTCTGATTAGCTGATCAAGTTCCATCAGACTATATTAAATTGGCAGGACAAGATACAGTTATATTTATGGATTTTTTTTCAGTTATATGTATGAAGAAAGTAAAATCAGCAAAATTAGACTCCTTTCAGCTAATTAAAATGGCATTCAGTATAGAGGAACAGCAGTCAATGCATTAAATGTGAATTGTAGTGAAAAAAGGTAATAGTAAGTAAGCATAACATAAGGCAAATAGGCCCTTTGCAAGACATTTTTTTCCTTAGGTTAATCAATGAGGTAAAGTTCTGCTGACTTCCACCATCATGTGCATGCAAAAATATTGTTTTTCTTAAAGCAAACAATTCCCTTGTTTGCCTTAAGTAAATCACTTTTTAAGAACTGTTAATCCCCGATTCATAGGCCCACAAATGGATATAATAATGAGGTTGGAGCACAGTGAGTATGGTATTGGGCCCATTCATGAAGAAGATTTGGCATCTATTAATGTTGATTTATAAATTTGAACTGGCATATGTGGTCTTCTGTTTGGCTAATCATGGTGAAATGAATCTTTTTATCTCTTTCTTTTTTCTTCTCTGTAAGAGTTGTAATTAGGATAGCTTGGTTAGTTGATTTTGGACCAGAAAGAAACAGAAAGATGTAACTTCTTAATCTTAATGTCGGACTCCTCAATATTATGAAGATGGGAGTTAAAATCAAAATACAAATTACACACTTCTGCATTTTTAGTGATGTGGTACATCTTAAGCATTTTCTATAAAGGCATGTTGTTTGAATTTGAAAAAGTGGTCACCCATATACGATATTAGTGTTATAAAGGATTGAAATATATTACATTTTTAGTTGAATCAGGGAACTTAACTATTTTTCATTTTGTAAAGTAAAATTTTTATGCTACAAAACATATGAACTCCAATCAAAGCTGTACAACATAAATATAGAATATACAGTAGAATCTATACGTGTTTTACAAAAAATAAATTTTGTGTAAAATACATATTATGTAAAGTACATATTTCTACAAAGCTTACCAGTATATTTTATGGCAAAATAATTAAGGAAAGGAATACATTGCATATTTAAAAATAAACAGAGGACATTTGAAGGATTTAAATATTATAATTGTAAGATATATTTATAATCTTTTAAATATAATTTAAATAAAATAGCATCATATAGAAAATATTAAAAATAACAAAACATATTAAATTTTTGTATATAAAACATGTGTTTTCAAAAAAGATAATATGTATTCAACTTGAAATTAACTTACTCACAACTAAGTTTATCACATGCAAGATGCAACTTAAATATTAGGCACTAGATGTCACTCTGCAACAACTTATAGCAGAAAAGGTGAAGGCTGAATGCATTTCTTTGTTGCTGATGCTGGATATCTTACTGCAGAAACATCGGCCATGCTAGATTTTTTATTCTATGCTGTGGATCTTCAGTAAATGCCAATGCCACCCTTGATGGAAAAAATACCATCTTCAGCCACTGTATTTTAAGAAATGTCCAGTGCAACCTTGGATTCTCAATTTAAAAACAGGATTGTCCATTTTTTGTTGCTTCAAATGTTTTGGGATGTGGTTCTGTGTCAGCTGCATTATATCATCCCAGAGGAATCTAAACATGGCACCTTTGTTGGAAGAATTACACAGGATCTGGGACTGGATTTAGGTGAGATTAATTCCAGAATGTTACGTGTTGTCTCTAGAGATGATAAGGAATATTTTCAGGTGAATCTGCAAAATGGAATTCTGTTTGTTAAAGATACAATAGACAGAGAGTTGCTATGTCCAGGCATACAGTTGTGCATTATTCCTCTGCAGGTTATAGTGGATAAACCTGTACAGATGTATCTTGTAGATATAGAGATAGAAGATATAAATGACAATAGACCAGCATTTCCATCCTTTGTGAGTAACCTTATGATATCTGAACTAATGCCTGCAGAATCTCGTTTTCATGTTGAGGTAGCAATGGATCCAGATCTTGGAACAAATGCTATTACAAATTATGAGCTCAGTGCAAGTGATTATTTTGCACTAGATTTTCAGAAATACATGAATCAGATTAGATCATTAGAACTTGTATTAAAGAAATCTCTAGATAGAGAAAAGCAGTCTATTCACAATCTCACACTTACAGCTTATGATGGTGGCAAGCCAAGATTAAGTGGTACATCTGAAATCATAATCACAGTAGAAGATGTTAATGATAATGCTCCAACATTTAATCAGCCATTTTATCAAGCTAGTGTGGTTGAAAATGCTCCCAAAGGATCATTAGTAATAAAACTAAATGCCACAGATTTAGACCAAGGGAAAAATGGTGACATTTTATATTTATTTAGCAAAACAGCTAAGGAAGATGTCAGCAACATTTTTAGTTTAGATATGTATACAGGGGAAATAGAAGTGATTGGAGAAGTGGATTTTGAGCAGGCACAAATGTATGAAATACAAATTGATGCTAAGGATAACGGGGATGTTCAATTAATTGGACATTGTAAAGTTCTAGTGGCTGTTGTAGATGTAAATGACAATTCTCCTGAGGTGACAGTAACTTCACTTGCCGTACCTGTTCCTGAGGACTCTCCACAGGGAACAACTGTTGCCATCATAAGTGTGCATGACAAAGATTCAGGAATAAATGGAAAAGTTAGTTGTAACATCATTGATTCATCACCCTTCAAAATACACCCAGCATTTAAGAAAGATTTTTCACTAACTGTAAATGGGAAGTTGGATCGAGAAGTAACATCTCAGTATGAAGTTGTAATCATAGCAAGAGATGAGGGAACACCACCACTGTCAGTTTTAAAGACTCTTAAAATTGATATTAGTGATATGAATGACAATGCCCCATTATTTCAGAAACTTTTTGATACAATCTTTATCAAGGAAAACAATCCACCAGGTGCTCATGTCTATACAGCATCAGCATCTGACCCAGATGTGGGGCAGAATTCCTTCATCACATATTCTATCAGTGACAGCGCTGTGGATGGGATCCCCATAAATTCTTATGTGTCAATCAATCCAGAGAATGGAAAATTATTTGCTTTAGTTTCATTTGACCATGAACAAGTGACTTATTTCCAGTGTCACATAAAAGCAACTGATGCGGGTCTACCTCCACTGATTTCAAACCTTACTGTTAATATTTTCATAGATGATATCAATGACAATGCTCCCACTTTTATGCCACTTTTTCCTGCTTTGCCAATAAGAACACCAAAGACAACTCAGCCTGGACACTTGGTTACTAAAGTAAGAGCGGTAGATATTGATTCAGGATACAATGCTCTGTTATCATATCATTTTAAAGATCTCACAGGAAAAACTCCATTTGTTATAACTCAGCAAACAGGAGACATTGGATTAAAGCGGACATTTACAGATTCAGATAATGAAGAATATAGACTAATAGTGGTAGCTCGAGACCATGGAGAGCCAGTCATGACAGCAGTAACAGAAATTGTCATCATCTTGGTGGAATCTGGAGAGGAAATTATGGATGACAATCAGGAGTCCAAAGGAATAACTGAAGAATTTACAGAAGCTAACATCTACTTAGTGGTTGCAATCTGTGTGATAGCAAGTATATTTCTCATTACAATAATTGCCTTTACAGTATTAAGATGGCAAAAATGGAGAGATGAAGTCAATGACCTGAAGGAAAATTACAAGATCTGCACCAACACTGCGGGTAGTTGGGTATACTCTCAACAAACTCAGTACAGAGTATGTTCAAACTCATTACAGCGGAAGAGTGACTTAATCGTTTTCACTCCAAATAGCTCTCAAATGCCAAATAATGAAGAGCATGCAAACCAACCAGTTGCTCAGCTAAATGCATCATATCAGGTAAGCTTGAATCAAAATGTTCCTCTAATTTACTGTTTATACAGCAAAATAATTATTTATTTTTTATTTTTATTAATATGATGCATCAGATACTCATTACAATTAACTGCAGCAGTAACTCCACAAAATGGTAAAATGTAAAGATACAGCCTTGCAGTAATAAACAAGACAGTGAGCTATAAGTTAAGTAACCTAGCTTATTTTAAAGAGATATTGCAGAGGTCTAGGGTGCTAAGGTGCAACAGAAAAAGGAGTACATGCTACAAAAACACATTTGCCATTGCTCATTGAGAAGCTAAATGTTTCCAGTTATAGAAACAATTATGTTTGTAAAATATTGCAAAATGCTCATCAGGTCATAGGTCAAGATCCCATGAGGCTGTTGTTAAATATTTTTTTTCTATTTTAGAGGCTCAAAGAATAGGGTTGGATTGGTTGCATTATTTTTTAAAGGAGACCTGTATAATGTATGAACCATTTAATATTTGTCTGACAGTGGGTATTGTTGAAAATTAAACATCAATATCTATCAAATTAATTTAGTTTACAATTATGTAGTAGGACATTGTAGATATAACATATTCTGTCTTATTACAAGAACCTAGACTCAGGCAAACTTATCACTCGAACAGTGGAAGACCAGTCAGTTGTGAATGATATAGCACTTACAGTAGACAGGCCCAATGCCCTCTGATGATGCCACCAGTGTAACCCCATGATTAGAAGGAGGAAAGGGTGGGATATGCTCCCAATAATATGCAACAACTAATACGTTTTTGTGGTGCTAGAAGAAGAGAGGATGACTAGGCACGTAGTCACATCTGCAGACTGCTTGTAATCAGAAATCATGTGTTAAAGGTTCATTTTTTTTACTGATTGCTTTCCCACATATTGAACAGTGAGACAGTATACAATACAATGTGTAAGAAGGTTAAACAGTGATCAAAAGCTCTTAGCTGTAACATATCTAAAACTCTTTTTTACATTTACCGTATGTCTTTTTATTAGGTTTAATAAAAATGAGCAGAGTTTTTATTAACAGTGTAAAAAATAAAAACCTGATATATATCCTTAAATGTTTTATTTGTAAAAATAATTAGATTTAGGAGGCAAATTAGTCATTAGTATTTATTGTCAAGATGACAAGTACATACTGACGATACTGTATTTGATCTGGGTAACCTAGGTTCAGTGTCCTTTGGTTATGAAAATGGTGAGCAATGTTTAGTAATGTTGATTTGATGTTAAACACCTTTATTAGAAAACAGTAAAGGATGCAGCTTATGGAACTAATTTGTAAGCACATGGCCAGATTGGGTATACTTTGGAAAGTGAATTTTCACTTTGTTTTATTTCCTTAATTTTGCAAACTAAAAAAATTACTTTCAAATTGAATTTGCTTTACTCTCCTAGTAAATCTGGATAATTGTTTTTGTTCAGGATTTTTAACGATTGACAAGACTTTATTTACTAAAGGATATGCATGTACACCTAGAACACTGATCATGTACAAACAAACTATATCCTTGCAGTGTTTATTATGTACCCATGGTGTACCTGGACATTAACACACATAGGCTTCAGTGAACATATCCTGAATTTACTAAAAAATGGGAGGCCCTTAGAGTTATATATTGTTTTCCTTTTATTTACTCTATTACAATCTTTTAAATTCATTAAACTCATTTTATTCTTTCCTTTAGCACACATTCCATTTTAAAGGGAGGTACCAAATTTCCTATTTACAACTCTATTGACCATTGTAATCCCTTTACATTTGCCTCTATTTGCATTCATCTATCAAATCTCTCTTTTTCCTCCCTCTAACTAATAAATCCCTAAGCACCCATGCCCAACATGTTTCACTCCTATTCGGGCTTCATCAGGGGTCTGTGCAAATTGTGGCAACAAAAAAGTGCTAATGCTTTTGTGTAGGGATGTATGTAAATATATCTTTTGAGTTTTTCTCTAGTCTAGTCTTGGAGCTGGAAAACTATCAGTACTTGTACAGTACTTGGTATCTGTGCATCCTTAATTTTGTACCATCACCAGGAACACAAACTATGAAACATGTTGGGCATGAGTGCTTAGGGATTTATTAGTTAGAGGGAGGGAAAAGAGAGATTTTCTAAAGGAAAGAAAAAAAACGAGTATAATAAATTTAAAAGATTTTAATAGAGTAAATACAAGGAAAACATTTTATATAACTCTAAGGGGAGGATGCACAGGTGGCAATGTGCATCATACGGTGAGAAAAGTGGTATATATTTAAAACTCTGGGTCATTTTCTTGTGCATTTATGTATATTTGTGAGCATGTGCAGCAGTTCAGGCTTTGTCTGGCATTTATGTACTTCTTTGTTTAGTAAGCTCTCACATTAGTTTTTAAAACAATGATTTCTAGTTTCAAGTAGAATGTTAACACATACATTATTAGAACAGACAGCACAAAAGAAGCATTATTTGAATGTTCAAACATGTTCAAACATGTTTGCAACAAGATGTTTAGTCATAAAGACCAAAATATCATGCTAACTAGCCACAAAGATTTATCTCTGTTATGCATCTTTATTGAAGTGTTCTTGCGGGATACCAGTGTTTGTGACTTATTGCACTTTTTTTGTTATATATTACATGATTTTTCTAACTTCAAATTTTCTCCTGAGAACTTCTTAAGGTAGCGCAAAGATAATTCAGTTTATGAGACTATTTTGAGACAATTTTCCTTTTGAAGACATGTAGGAATGGAACATAAACAAATAATACATCTTTCATTGTATTCACTAGAAATCAGGAATGCAAGAGTTTAAAAGACACTGATAATGCACAATGTTGGCAAATGTTGCACACTGAATATCAGCCTATGGTCAGCAAGATTCAGGGAACATAACCGTTATGCATGTACACATTCAGGTGGTTATATTTACTATTACTATTCTGATTTCATTTTATGTTTATAAGATGTTGAGCTAATGTTTTTAATCTTATCTTCACAATAAAAAAAAAAAAAAATTAACATATAAAAAGTTTATACATGTGCATTCATGACATTGATGTTACATAGTGTAACAGACTCACCTGGAGGCGGACCATAGTGAACATCCGCTGCCATCCAATCCCGGCCAGGCAGGCTGCTCCTCCTTCTTCTGGCTCACCCACATTTAACCGCGGTGTTTGGTGGAAAAAAAAATCCAGCACAAGGGGCAAAGGGGGTTCTTCACAGTAAGATCAGTTAGGGTCTGGAACTCACTGCCACAGGCAGTGATTTCAGCAAATAATGTGGATTTGTTCAAGAAACTTTTGGACGATTTCTTAAAGGACCGTAATATACAGGGGTACAGGTACTCCTAGAATGAGATCCTAATAGGTTGGACTTGATGGACTAATGTCTTTATTCAACCTCAAATACTATGTAACTATGTAACTATGTTTGAATTGCTGGGTGATCTATTGTCTGCAACACAACACTGACCAATTCCTGTTCACAAAGGATCTTCTCTGCTGAGCTCCTTAGCATGTCAGTCATTACCGACATATTCCTTCCTATCCACCGCAGCTGCTGTGCAAAGGGATCTCTCCTAATTGAGACATTGATATGGGAAAAGCTACTTCCACAGTGTGGACTGTTTCCTGAGCTACTAACTGCAAGTATACTCTCTCTACCTGTCTGCTTTGCCATTCATTTGATGGACTTAATGTTCTTGACCTGGGATGCCGGTCATATATTGAATTGCACACTCTAATCGTTTATTGGATTGTATGAACTGCTATACTACAACCAGTCTACTTGTCCTAGTGTGAAGAAACAATTGATTGCACATTCTTATGGTTTATTGGATTGTATGAACTGCTATACTACAACCAGTCTGCTTGTCCTGGTATGAGCAAACACTGGATAACACTCTCTAATCAATTAGGGGTTGTATGAAGGAAGGCTATCCCATTATCCTGTGTGTTAAGGATTCCATGGTTATAGACTGCAGGAACTTAACTCTTGCACTCCCAAATCATAAGTGCTGAGTGGGCAATACTGAAGTGATCCTGCTGTGTTTTTAGGAAGACGCATTGTATTCACCTCACTCTACCTGAATAACCTGGCTCTAGACTCTGCATCTGTTATCCCATCAGGTAATTAAACCAGCAGGTCACTGCCTTACAGCTGGACAACCAAAACCTCCGCTCATATATAACCCAAAATATCCCAGCACCTAGTCAGCCTGCTAGCAACCCAGAACCAAAAATTAACCCTCCTGAAATATTTTCAGGTGATTGCAAGCACTGTAGAGAGTTTGTGAATTCCTGCAAACTGTTTTTTGATTTAAAACCCAGGGCATACCCCACTGATAGAATTAAGGTATGTACTGTTATATTTTACCTTAAAGGGGAACCCAGAGCATGGGCGAACAGTTACCTGGAAAAAGAAGATCCAATGTTAAACTCCTTTGACAATTGTTGGGCCGCTATGTCCTTGCTATATGAAGATCCTTGCAAACAACTCACTGCCGAATCTGTCATCAGAAGTCTAAAACAAGGGAAAAGACCTGTGGAAGACTATATTGCAGAATTTAAAAGATGGGCAAGGGAGACCGAGTGGAATGATATTAGCCTGAGAAATGAATTCCGACTCAGTCTCTCGGAATTGCTCAAGGACGAACTGGCTAGAGCTGGCTAGAGATGACGTTCCTCCAACCCTCAATGCTCTCATTCATGGTTCTATTGCAATATATAGACGTTTACAGGAGAGAAGAGCTGAAAAAGCCTCCTCCGTTCCATACATTCCCCATAGGAATCCTACTTCGCCAGTTGAAGAACCCATGGCATCATACGTGGTCCACTATCACAAGCGGAGAAGAATAGATGTAGAGAATTGAATCTCTTCATGTATTGCGGCTCTTCCGATCATGGCCTAGAGGAATGTCCAAACCTCAGCAGGAAGAATGAGGTTAAGTTTGCTTACTTAGGTAAGATAATCCCCGCTACCACCAGCTCAGCTAACTATCTCAAAATGGTTCTGACCCTACAGTGGGACCAAAGAAGAATATGCGCAGAAGCTATGATTGACACCAGAGCCTGTGGCAACTTCATTGATGAAAAAATAGTTGTCTCCAATAAAATTCCTACAATTAAAAAATCTCCACATGTTGCTGTTCGACTCATGACGGATCTACACTCAGTTCAGGTCCCATCACCTTACAAACTCAACCATTAATGGTGACAACTCCATGTAGTCATGTAGAGTATTTATCTTTTGATGTTGTTCCTTCCCCCTTGTTCCCTATATTATTAGGCCTCACTTGGTTAAAGTTACATCAACCCGCATTACATTGGGGAAATAACTCCCCTCAGTTACTATCTCCTTACTGCCAGCAAACTTGTTGCACCAATACTAGCCACCTTTTACAAATTGTACCCACAGTAGAGATACCTGTTCAATACCAAGAGTTCTCTGAGGTTATTTCAAAGACATTGGCGGATACTTTACCACCCCATAGACCATATGATTGCCCTATCAACCTTCTTCCTGGCAGTAGTATTGCAGTGGGACACGTTTTCCCGCTCTTTCAACATGAATTAGATTATTTGAAGAATTACTTGGAGGAGAATCTGAAAAAAAGGATTTATAAGGCTTTCTATCTCACCAGCTGGGGCTGACATGTACTTTGTCCGGAACAAGGACAAAAGTCTCCGCCCCATTATAGATTACAGAGGGTTGAATAAAATAACAATCAAAAACAGGTACCCCCTACCATTGATACCCGAACTTCTTGAAAGGTTGCAAAATGCTAGAATATTCACAAAACTTGATGTCAAGGGCGCTTACAATCTGATTAGAATATGTTATATGTATAGGCCTTCAGAACACGTTACGGCCTATACAAATATTTAGTGATGCCTTTCGGGTTATGTAACGCCCCTGCTACATTTCAATTCTTTATCAACTATATCTTCCGTGATCTATTAGATGTTTGTGTCGTAATCTACTTGAACGTTATCTTAATATACTCCAGCAACCTCACAGACCATCGTAAACATGTAAGATGGGTCCTTTCCAGACTGAAAGTGCATAACTTGTATGCCAAGCTAGAAAAGTGCATTTTTGAGACCGAAAACATCTCCTTCTTGGGATACATTGTCTCCCCTAACGGTGTTCAGATGGACCAATCCAAAGTTGACTGTATCCATAACTGAGAAGTAGTGGGGGATTTAGGAGATCCAGACGAGGATGTCAGCACAGTAGGTCGACGTCTTCCTCCTTGCATGGATGCCACCCCACTGTGGAATCGCTGCTTAAAACAGCTGAGGGGGCGGAGCCAGCGATCTCCGCACCTGGACCAGAGATCAGGCATGTATGTTACAGTAACTGGCCCACTCCATGCTCTCAGAAGTCACTTAAAAATGTCTGGGGTTCGCAAACTTCTATAGAACGTTCATTAGGAACTTTTCTACTTTTGTAAAACCTCTAACCATACTGACCAGCTCCACTACAAAATTCAGATGGACCTCCGAAGCTCAGACTGCATTCGAGCAATTAAAATCTTGATTCACCACCGCTCCCATACTACACCTTCCAGATACCTCACTACAATACATCCTTGAAGTCGATGCATTCCATGCTGCTATTGGGGCTGTTCTTTCTCCAAAAGAAAATCATCTCTCTCCTCTTCATCCAGTGGCATTCTACTCCCGTGCACTGACTCCAGCCGAAGTAAACAACTCAATTGGTGAAAAGGAACTCCTTGCCATCAAATCTGCCCTGTAAACCTGAAGACATCTTCTTGAAGGTACTAAATTACCGATTGTTATTTACTCCGACCACCAAAACCTACAATACCTCAAAACCCCAAAATGTCTGTCGTCCTGTCAAGTTCGATGGAGTTTTTTCTTTGATAATTTTGACTTTATTATTACATACCGACCAGGCTCTAAGAATGGCAAAGCGGACTCCTTATCACGAATCAATGAACCAAATCATTCATCGATGGTACCTTCTGTTATTATCCCTGAAGAGAAAATTATTTCTGCCATGGTTACACTAAAAGAACAACTCAAAGACGCACTCCAAACAGACTCAGCCGACATTACCTCTGAACTACAAGCTGACCCTGATGGTTTCCTTTACAAAGAAGGCAGGATGTATATACCTTCTGCGTTGCATCTACAAATCCTAAAATTGATGCATGATGCCCCACTTGCAGGTCATCCTGGAATTTGAAAGACTCATGAGTTAGTAAAATGTCACTTCTGGTGGCCAAATATGGCTAAAACGATCCAGGAGTACGTCAAAACCTGTGAAGTATGTGCTTCTTCCAAATATGAAACAAATCATGCGTACAGGCTACTAACGAACGTGCCAATCCCAAATACACCATCGGAGGTTGTATCGATGGATTTTATAGTTGATCTCCCACAATCACATAACCATATATACCATTCTGGTGGTCGTTGACCTACCGTGTTTCCCCGAAAGTAAGACCTACCCCGAAAGTAAGACCTAGCGCTATCTTCAGGGATTTCTGTAGTATAAGACCTACCCCGAGAATAAGACCTAGTTTGGTGGTAGGTCTTATATTACAGAAATCCCTGAAGATAGTGCTAGGTCTTACTTTCGGGGTAGCTGCACATATAACTGATTTTTACTTGTGAAGACCGGCCGCAGCATTGTCTTATTTTCGGGGAAACACGGTATTAACAAAAATTGCACATTTTGTTCCCTTAAAGAACCTGCCCAATTCCTTCAAAATTGCGGACACTTTCCTTTCCAATATCATTAAATTACACGAGGTAAAACGCCTAGCAGGAAAACGCCAGAGGCCAAAAAAAAAATTACACGGGGTACCCAAACGCATTATCACGAATCTGAGCCATCCACGGATTCTGGAAGGCTCTATGTGTCAAACTACAAATTGACCACCGTCTTTTGACTGCCTATCATCCACAGACTAATGGGCAGACAGAGAGAATGAATCAATGTTTGGAACAGTTCCTTAGATGTTACTGTACTTACTTGCAGGACGATTCAGCAAACCTACTGCCGATGGCATAATTTGCATACAATAACTCCCTCAGTGCTTCTACCGACCAAACTCCTTTCTTCTTGAACTATGGTTTTCATCCTTCTTCCATTCCGAGTTCGATTGTCCAAACCAGCAACCCAACCACGGATGACTATGTTCTCCGTCTACAACAGTCTTCCATTTACCTCAAATCTAATATCAAAAAAGCCCAGGAGAGGCAAAAACGTTACTACGATCTCAGATGCAGGGAGCCTCCGACATATTCCATTGGCGATCTAGTATGGCTTTCGACAAGAAACCTTACGCTTCAGACTCCATCCAGGAAGCTTAGTAAGCTGTTTGTTCCCGGTTCAGAAAATCATAAATCAAGGGACTGTGCGTCTCACTTTAGCCTCTCAAATAAAGATTCACCCCACTTTCCATGTTTCTTTATTGAAACCTTATTGAGGAAATACTTTCTCTAACCGTACTCCTACGGTTCCTCCTTCCAGTCAACATACAGGGAGAAGAGGAATTCGATGTGGACCGGATACTGGACTCCAGAAGACATCGTAATAGATTGCAATACTTAATTAGATGGAAGTCCTATGGCCCTCAAGAGGATTCATGGCAGGATGCTTCTTCAGTTCATGCTCCGAGTCTTGTAAAACGGTTTCATTTGAGATATCTCAATGACCTTCGCCAGTAGCGACCCCCAGAGTGGGTCATTTAAGTGGGGGGTCCTGTAGCAGACTCACCTGGAGGCAGATCGTAGTTAACTTCTGCTGCTGTCCAATCCCGGCCAGGCAGGCTGCTCCTCCCTCTTCTGACTCACCCACATTTAACCGTGGTGTTTGAATTGCTCAGTGTTGTGTTGTCTACAACACAACACTGAGCAATTCCTGCTCACTTAGCATGTCAGTGATTATTGCGCTGCTGTGCAAAGGGATCTCTCCTAATGGAGACATTGATTTGGGAAAAGCTACTTCCACAGTGAGTACTGTTCCCTGAGCTATTAACTGCAAGTATACTCTCTCTACCTGTCTGCTTTGCCATTCATTTGATGGACTTAATGTTCTTGACCTGGGATACCGGTCATATATTGAATTGCACACTCTAATCGTTTATTGGATTGTATGAACTGCTATACTACAACCAGTCTACTTGTCCTAGTGTGAGGAAACAGTGGATGGCACATTCTTATCGTTTATTGGATTGTATGAACTGCTATACTACAACCAGTCTGCTTGTCCTGATGTGAGGAAACACTGGATAACACTCTCTAATCAATTAGGGATTGTATGAAGGAAGGCTATCCCATTATCCTGTGTGTTAAAGATTCTATGGTTATAGACAGCAGGGACTTAACTCTTGCACTCCCAAATCATAACAGTGCTAAGTGGGCAATACTGAAGTGAGCCTGCTGTGTTTATAGGACGATACATTGTATTCACCTCACTCTACCTGAATAACCTGGCTCTAGACTGTGCATCTGTGATCCTATCAGGTAATTAATCTTGGCCTTCAGTGATAAGTTACACATAGCATTGTAGGTTTCCTAAGGATAGAGGACAGTATTGGTTTCTTTCAGACTATCTCTCTCTAAATGAATATCAATTTGAAGCCACACAGAGTATAACACAGAGGTGAAATATAAACATTGCTAATATAGCTAAAT